TGGGACATCAAGTCTGGAGATCTTTTACGAACATTCTCGACACAAAGCGATGGTGATCCAACTCCGGTGAAGAAACAGATGCAATGGCCAGCACTCAAATGGAGTCCAGACGACAAATACGTTGCGCGTATCACACCCGGGCAGATGATCAGCGTCCACGAGCTCCCTTCTATGTATCTTCAAGGAAAGAAGAGTCTTAAAATTGAAGGTGTAGTTGACTTCGAGTGGTGCCCGTTAGGAGAGAAAGACAAAGAAGACGCCAATCCCACCAATGGAAAGCCCGCAAAGAAAGCCCGGGAAAACATGCTGGCATACTGGACACCCGAAGTCGCTAATCAGCCTGCTCGTGTCACCTTAATGGCTTTCCCCAGCCGTACTATCCTGCGTCAGAAGAATCTATTTAATGTCACGGAGGTGAGATTTATTCTTTTCGGATTTTCAGAAAATCTAATTTTGGTTCATCTTATCAGTGCAAGCTCTACTGGCAAAACCAAGGGGACTTCCTCTGTGTCAAAGTCGACCGCCATACCAAAACAAAGAAATCGATCTTCTGCAATTTGGAAATATTCCGATTACGCGAAAAAGACTACCCAGTAGAGGTTGTTGAGTTGAAAGGTAAGGAGACATGACCTTGCCATACAGAAAGGTTATCCTTCATTGTTTTTGGATGCACAGATACCGTGATGGACTTCTCCTGGGAGCCAAAAGGCGAACGTTTCGCCATTGTTTCGAGTAGCGATCCGAACCTAGGCAATCCTGGGCCTGGGATAACTATCAAAACGGATGTCAGCTTCTACCAGCTAGATCACGGAAAGAATGATTTCCGCCTGCTGCGTAAGCACCAATGGACCGTGTTACCAGTTCTTGACTAATTGAAGACTTTCTTTCTCTCAGGGACGTTGTCCTCACGGACAAGCAATGCCATTCGATGGTCACCACGAGGTCGCCATGTCGTTCTAGCTACTGTCGGCTCTTCCAGCAAGTCCGAACTTGAGTTCTGGGATCTCGACTTCAACTCGGACGATCGGAAAGAGGGTCAAACGGAGTGGGGAACCGGCATCCAACTTCTCGGTAGTGCAGATCACTACGGGGTGACTGACGTGGAGTGGGATCCCAGTGGGAGATATCTGGCCACCAGCGCCAGTGCGTGGACTCATACAGTAAGATCGACTTTCTCTGCATCCGGACCGATCTGACAGCTCTTTCCTATCCAGTTGGAAAACGGTTATGCCATCTGGGACTTCCGTGGACAAGAGCTCGTCAAAAATATCCAGGATCGATTCAAGCAATTCATCTGGAGACCAAGACCACCCACCTTGCTCTCGAAGGAGAAACAAAAGCAAGTTAGACGAAACCTCAAGGAATACAGCCGTGCTTTCGACGAAGAAGATGCCGCCGAAGAAAGCAATGTCAGCGCTGAGCTTATTGCTCATCGTAAGCGGTTGGTGGATGAATGGAATGCTTGGCGCCTTCTGCGCAGGAAGGAGCTTGGTGGCGCTGACCGTCCACAAAGCACAGATGAGAGCAAGGAAGAGATCGAAGTCTGGATTGACGAGGTCATTGAGCAGACTGAAGAGGTGGTCGTCGAGTAGATATGGCATTGTTCAAACTCTCCTGTGCTCTCGTACCTACGTCGATTTTCTACATTTTTGCTTGTAGAGGGAAGCGTTCGGACCTCGTGGGAGTATGCACAGCCGAGACCCGACGAGGCCTGCGTTATCGTGGGGAAGCGGGCTTGGAAGGGAAGTACCGAATAAACCCGACATGTGAATCTTATCAGATTGCGGAATCTGACCACATCCCCTTCCTGGAATAACTTGCTCTCCTCCACACTCCTCCGACCAACCCACCTGTAGCATTTTCGCCGTAAATGACCTCCCTAGGCTCAGCGTCGTCATCAACGACGTTGTGGGCGACAGGTCTGTCTCATCCACTTGCTCATGCTCTCCAGCGATATACTGAAGAACGACCTTAGCGACCAAGGAGTGGGTGATACAACCCAAGCCAAAGCCTGGCCGTAAGCCAAAGAAAGAACCCGCACCATCTTCCAATGACCCCTCTGAGGTATTCTTCTCATACTTCTTTCGTCACTGACAATCTAATGAGCTTTGCAGACCGATCCCAAGGGACGGCGCGTCCAGAATAGGTGGGTAGTATAGTCGCGAGATAGCTCACCATCGCTGATCGGTACTCTGTCTCTGCAGAGCTGCACAACGTGCGTTTCGTGAGCGAAAACAATCACAGCTTGCCGAGCTCCAGGCTCGAATTCAGTCATACGAGCAAGGCGAAATCGAGAGAAATGTTGCTCTCCAAAACGTAGCCAAACGCCTGAAGGAAGAGAATGAGGCGTTGCGGAAGGAGAACATGGCTCTGCAGGAGAAACTTTCGCAAATTCAAAAACAACACGAAGAGCTATCACAGCAAACTGCTCCGCCTACAACGGACAAAAAGAGGTGGCGAGACGACTCTCCATCCAGCTCTTCGTCGGCGCAACCTCCCGCAAAGAAGAAATCTCGTACAGAGTCAGATACGGGCCATACCACATGGTGCCAACTGCCGTCTTCTGTTGCTCAACTTCCCTCTCCCTCGTCCATGGTATCAACGCCGGAGGCGACCGACTCCAGCGAATCCACTTTCTCCCCAGTCAACTACGATACGCCAGCAGACTTAGACCCCGGATCCTTTGGGCAGATAGATTGCCTCCCCTCTGACATGAAGCTCCACGAGTCCCTTCCCTCCTTCTCGTCCACCTTTTCTTGTGGCTTCTGCGACGGCGGACGAAATCCCTGCATGTGCCGTGAAATGATGGCTGAAACTGTTCTGGAGCATACCGCGGCGTCGGCCGAGTTCAAACCTCACACCTTTGGCGAGGTGCCCATTGACCAGCCTATAAATGAGCCAACTCCCCTGTCACCTACCGATATCAATCGTCCGTCAATCCTCGACAATTTGCCAGCATACCAGCCCCCAGTTCCTTTAAAACGCAAATCCCGGGCTGTTTCCAGCAACTCTATATTCCCTGTTCGAGCAGCGCCAGCGAGGGCGGAAGCTACCTGCTCGGGTGACCCATCCAATTGCTTAGCGTGTGCGGACGATGCCTTCGGAAAGGCTTTCTGTGCAGCCATCGGAAGTTCAGCACTGAACAGTGCCAATTGCAACGACTGTCCATCTAGAGTAGATGGCGGTTCCGCAGGTGGATGCTGCGGAGGCGGGGATGGAACGGGCTGCGCCAATTGTCTATCGGGTTCAACCACCCTGAATTCCTCGGATTTCTTGCCAGAGGTAATGCCCACCAACACCGCTTGGCAGAGGCTGAAAGAGCATCCGAACGTCGCTTTTGCGGACCTCTCTCTCCTCGCAGAAGTCGTCGCTAGTCGCTCTAAGTGCGCCGGACCGCGCATCGTCCTGTCACCTGCTCCCCAGCTACCTCAAGATCCTGACACCTCGACCATCAATTACGCGGACAGACAGCTGGAGGACAATAGACGCTCACCTCCTCTCAGACTGGTGCCTCAGGAGGTTCTGTTGGAATGTGGACGGCGGACCATGCGGCATGTGCACGCCGACGGCGTGCGAGAAGCCCTCAGGTTGCTCGACGCCAAGTTTTCCTGACCAGCTGGAATCCAGGACGAGGGGAGGCACAGCACGAACGAGGCTACTATTTAATTGAATTCAATTATCCTCGTCCTCGTACAATGTACTATAGCGGTCTTCATAGCGGACCCAGTAGACTATGCATCATCTTGTTGCCTTCTACCCTCGTGATGGAACTGAGAAGGGCCAAAGTACCGTCGATAAACGTCCAGTAGACCTCGCATCTGACGGTATATCACACTCCTGTGGACCTTGTGTCGCTTTGCACGAGAGGGTTTCAAGGACCGGAAACGAGTGATTAGGGTTCGCAAGTCGGCATGGTGCAAATCAGGCGGAAAGGCGTCGACATAGGGCCACAGCGCGATTAGCGTTCGTCGTGCTTTGTCGTATTGGCGAATTGCGAAAAAGGCACTGACGACTGCATCGATGGATGCGACGTCGGGACGAATGCCGGCCTTAACCATCTTGCGAAAAGTATCTGCTGCTGCTCTTGGATTGTGTTGCCGTGCATAGCCGTGGATGAGAATGGTATACATCACAGCATTCGGTATGACACCAGACTTTTCTGCTGTCTTCATGACCGACTTGGCTTCGTTGAGGTTACCTGACATGACGTGGCCTTCCATAAGCGAGCTGAAGTGATGTACATTTGCATGAATCCCTCGCGCAGTCAGAGTGCGCAGAACAGAAACGGCAGAGTCGAGGTCGCTATGCAGGACACCGTCGCGTTTCATACGTAAACCGATGACAGCTGGGTCGGCTCTCACACTCCGGCTCGCAAGTGATTCAGCAATCCGCTCTGCGATACTGCGATAGGGTGTATGGGTACCGACCATAATCCCCGCCGTAGGGTCGAAGGGGTCAGTCGCCGAGGTCGTGGCGCTAGGCTTCCGCCGGTGGTAGCAACCAGATTTCTTCTTCGCAATTGACTTCCATCCCGTTCCAAATAGCACACGTTTCTCCTCCCGAAGGATGTAGCTGATGATATGGTGCATGTGGCGTACCGAAAGCTGCAATGAGTCCGTCGAAAGTTGGCGAATGACCCTGAGAATGGAGCGAGGGCGAACACCCGTCTGGCACATGCACGACAGAATAATCTCCAGTGTACGTGCATTTGGAACAAGGCCATTGGCATGCATGATGGCAAAGACGGCAGAGACATCGCGAAGACCTTGACGATGTATCATCCCTCTCAAGAGGGCATTGCAGATACGAGCGTTGAGAGGCACGTTCGATATTTTTGGGATGGGATCATTAAAACCGCGGTCCTCTTTCGACTTCAAGACTGCGAATTCAGCAGATGCGCGTTCACCACACATTCCTTCAATCATCCGTATTGCTGTATTTCCGTGGTCTAGTAGAAAGTAAGAGTGGACGAAGGATGTCACTAAGCCTGGTGTTGCCTGCGTTCCAGACATGAGGGCTGCATTGCCGAGATCGATGGCGCCCTGGTAATTGGCCCTCTTGATGAAGAAATTCATGAATAGTGCAATAGTCGTCGCGTCCGCTTTCAACCCTTGGCCACCCAATGTTGGGACGCGAGGATGTGAAAGATCCGACAACGTCCAATGAAGATTATCAAATGCAGCAGTCGCAAATGTCGAAATATGGGCACGAATTTCTTCGATACTGGACGGATCGTATAACGACAGGAGCTGGAGAGTGTTGGGAATGTCTTCGTTGCCGAGCGTCGAGGAAACAAGTTGATTGAGGACAACTAGGCCGGTCTCCGGAGGAAGACTTGCTATTGCGTTCAAAGCATTTTGTCGAACATGTAAATCCACACCGAACTGTCGGTAAAACCGACCAATGAAACCATGGGTCTGGTCGTTGATGGGAAAGCCTGCTTCTGTCATACGACGCAAGCAAAGTTTGGCGCCTTCCATATCGTGATTTCGTAAACAACCAGAAAGAACGAGATGGAATGTCCTTTGCGTTGGACGGATGTTGAGAAATTCAAATTCTTCGAGGATGGTCTGAAGGATGGCGTATTGCTCAGTTTCGAACAGAGCACGCGCTCGCCAGTTAAGCAATCGAAGAGTTCCCGTACCCTTGTGCTGAAATCCAGTCGCCACGGTCGCAAGAACCATGTCCCAATGACAGGACGCGGCGAGGTGGAAAGAAACAGCTTCGTATGCACCGTGGTGCAAGGTGTGCCCGGTTGCATGAGCAAGTTCGAGAAGCTGGAGGGCGCGAATGGGGGTTGATGACTGTGCGAGCAAAGCCGTTATAGCATTCGTCTTCTTGTGGTTAGAAAATGCTGAAAGCATTGAGGGTGACTCTTCAATGGATCGTAAAATCTCGTTTGGGTCGGGTTCCGTTGCGAGTGCGGTCAACACTGAAGCGAACTCCGGATACCCAACCGTAAGAGTTGCATTCAGATTTGCATGTTGCTTTGCTTGTGGAGGGGGTGGTACTATGTCTTCTGGAGGAGAACTCCGGAGAGCCGCCTGGGTGGAAATAAACGGACGGCAACCGCGGTACGTCGGTGTGCGTGCTAGACAGATGCATTTCGCGAAAGTCCACTCCAGATGTCGCTTCCGAACAAAGGCAAACCTCTGGAGCATGGACAGCTGGGGGAGTGTCCAAAGATGGGTGGTTCGACGAACCAATTGCGCGTCTGTAAAGAATAATGTCAATGAAACAATCGAAGAATGAGGCAATTAAGTACGCACCTGTAGGCGAAGCGATAGGGGGTTTATTAAGGATGCATATGCAACATGAATGGCCCGCGTCTCTCCCTCACACCGACGAGTATAGAACCCAGAGCCTGTTGGTTCAGTCGAAAGCTGTTTGTTGAAAGACTTTCCTCGGAACAGCATGGACATCAGCCCGTACTTCCCACGCTCACTGGTCTGACCTGCCTCCGGACCTATGCCCTTCGTACTCCTTGACCCCTAGGCTCGTCTCCCTCCTTTGACGCTGTTTTCTACTTCATGAACGACTTCATCTGACTAGAGTCTTGGTACATATCTACATGGAACCCCTACACAGAAGAGAATCGTCCTTATCACGCCCAAAGACGCCAGTGCCAGACCGGCAGAACTATGCCAAAGGAATCGTCCTCCTCCTCGTGGTCGTCCTCCTCTGGACATTGTCGAATTATGTCACGCAGGTACTTATGCATGCTCCTCACTCCTTGATCCCCTCTGATTCTCAATATTAGGGCATGTATGAGGGGGGCTACAATAAACCATTTCTGTGGGTGATGCCTCAAGCCATATCTCGGGCCAACTCATCATTATTTTTTTCTGGCCAGGGTTACATACATGAACACCGTTTCGTTCTCCTTCTACCTCTTACCATTCCTCCTGCGACGTTGGTTGGGACGGACTGAAATCCTGTCCACGAAGCCATTTGGTCGAGGGTGCGTGCTATGAGCGCCTATTGCGTCATCACCCGTCATACTTATTCAGTGCACTGAACCCAGGACGCAAGCAGAATACCAACCTCTCGCTCTGGAGGATGATATTGAAGAGGTAAGCACTTCTTTCTCTCTCTCTCCCTCTATGGATATAATTGAGTCCCGTATAGTCTTCGTCACCAATCGCGAGGCTAGATGCGTCACTCGATCATCCTTCCCGGATCCACGCGCGAGAGAACTCGTTGCCTCTCACAGATCGCGAGACTGCCGATCTTGCTTTCACTTTCTGTATGATTTGGTTCATTGCGAACTGGACTGTCAACGCGTCGCTCGGCTTCACAAGTGTAGCAAGTGCGACTGTTTTGTCTAGTACGAGTGGTAGGCGTTTGAATCTGTTCCTAAGGCCTGGTTCTCATCATCTTCAAGGATTTTTCACGCTCGGCATTGGACACCTATTTAGAATTGAGAAATTCACAATGATGAAAATTGGAGCGGTTGTGACAAGGTAAATTCGAACGCAGTGTGTCTCGTATATAGACTAAATGCCCTGGCTTGCAGCTTTATCGGTGTCGCATTTGTATCTTTCTCAGATTCTGAGGGATCGAAACCAGCCATCCAACCAGGCGAAACTTATTTCGACTCGCGCGCAATGATTGGGGACTTCTTCGCTCTCATATCGGCCCTATTCTATGCCATATATGTTACACTCTTAAAAGTTCGAATCAAGTCAGAGTCAAGAATCGACATGCAACTCTTTTTCGGATTTGTTGGACTGTTCAACCTTTTGACATGCTGGTGGATAGGAGTCTTACTACACCTGACAGGAGGAGAGGTCTTTGAGCTGCCCCCAACCAGGCACGCGCTCTATGCGATCCTGATCAATGTACGTATGGACTCAAATTGCAGAAGTGTCGTAAAGCTTGACTGACATTACGTCGCAGATGGCAATCACTCTTTCCAGTGATTATCTATACGTCTTGGCCATGCTAAAGACCACTCCCCTTGTTGTTACAATTGGCCTCAGCCTTACTATACCCTGTGCTGTAATCGGCGACTTCTTGCTGAAACGTCCAGCAAAGGGCGCTGTCATACTGGGAGCGTTACTGGTGTTGGGGAGCTTTGTGGCCATCGGCTGGGAGGATGCGCACGAGGAAGAGGCGGAGACCACATCCACGGAAGTACAGGGATTATGACGATAGAATTGGCTGTGTACTGATCGTTTTGCTATTTCCTGCTGATAATTTTCTGTATCTTCGAATATGTATATTGTGGACCGTATAGACTAGCTTCGTTGCTAATACTAGATCTGACTCCTACCGAGCATTCAGAAGGCTGCGAGAAGAGTATGAATCAACCTGCCAAAAACTCAACCCTTCGCGTGCTATCTTGAACCGGAAGTTGTTTGCGCCTGGACGTCCGGATATTTGAGCATCAATAGATATTTCCGTGTCGTCACGGTTGCTAGGCTTGCTTGGATCGACTGGGACCACATTCAAAGAAAGGAAGTATGCTAGAGATGAGTCCAGTCCTCCGACCTGCCAATATGCTGGAGCTTGCGTACTCAAGAGAGAAAGAGCTTGATTGGGGCCACCGATTCGAGGCATATCCTGGCCCACAGATGGTGCGTTTGCACTTTGCGGTAATCCCCAGTGTGTTATCACTGTTATTACACCGTGTCTAAGTCGAATATCATCAAGTTGCGCAAAAACGGTTTGGTAGGCCGCGTTCCTGGTGCTCCACGAGCCGTGCAGTTGTTCGGCCTTGAATCGATCTAGCCAGTGAAATGCATCAACAGAGTGTATTGCCACCATACCGAGCTCTGTGTCCGGGAAGTGCTTCGAATGATATCTTGAAAGATGAGCCAGTGTGACTGCAAGTTGGTTGGATGATTCTGGTCTGAAGACGTGCAGAAGCTTTAGACACTTTTCGACAACTGGCGAAGTTGATGCTAAGGGCAAGGACTTCCGGAGACGGTCAACAAGAAGGGCATAGAACCGGGAGATGCAAAAGGTTCCATCCATGTCAAAAACAGTCGCTGCTCTGTTCCATCCTCCAACAGTGTGCGCGAGATACCTTGGAGGTAGGATGCATGTTGCTATAAGAAAATATAATAGATGAGTTTTGCCAGATCCTGAGGGGCCTTGAAGATGAAAGGTATCTCCCGGATTCAAGGAGGGTGAGCCAGAACTAGTGGGTCCATCTGTGGGAGACCATAAGTAGGAGTCAAGAGGCGCTATGCCCGTCAATCGAGATGGTCTGTCTTATAGAGAACATGGTTAGCTGCCCGTTGCGGAGAAGACAATATTCTCACTGTCGTGTTGGACGGAGACAAGGAGCTGCAGTTCAGGGAAGCAATGCTATGAGAAATTGCTGAATACAGAAAATGAGCTCCTATCCCACCTGCTGGAGAGATTCTGAAGGTATTTCACGGAGAAGTTGTTCGGCGGAGACCATCATGGTGGACAGAAATAGAGTTGCAGACTGCAGTGGCACATGTAAGTAACCACCATCACTTGGCCCGTCGGTTGTCAAAACTTGCTTAGACTTGTACAACACACTTCACCACGCTTTCTTGTATTTTCTCTTCTTCCTTTCCTCGGAAACCTCCTTTAACCCGCTTTCTCAGTCGTTCGATATTCACGACCTTCACTGATATTACGACCCTCACGACGTACCGACGACTATCCACCCACCCGCCATGTCGACCACTTCCCCAAAGGCGAATCCACTGCCTGCTAGACGTACGGCGGCTTCGCCATCTCGCATCTCCACATCATTAGCTAGAGGTGCCACCGCTCGCTCAGCAGCGTCACCTCGCGTTTCCACCCTCAACTCTGCCTCCCGTCGTTCGATGTCTATTTCAAAGAGCACAACCCCTACCCCTGTTGCCAACGGTGACACTCATGAATCCCTTACGGCCTCACTCAAACAGGAAACTGATCAGAAGGAACAGGTGCGTCCTTGATTGAATAACGTATGCTTTCAGTAAAGAGACTGACTTCCTAGTCGCTCTTAGCTTCTTGTACAACTGCAGGACAAGGAGCAACTGGTCTCCACCTATGCCACGGAGAACAGCAATCTTACTTTGGCTCTATCTGCCGCAGAAACCCGACTGAATGAGCTTTATGCTGAGCAGTCACGTTGGGAGTTGGAGCTCGCTCAACGTATTGACATATCCGACAAGCTGCGAGAACAGGTGCGCGAGCTCGAGAAGGAGAAACGAGATGTACAGCGCAGGTACAATGAACAAGTGAGAACAATATCCTTCATCCTTGGGTAATATGACCTATATTTATGCAGACTGCAACGTTCGAAGCAGAGAGGCAAGCGTTTTACGACAACGAGCAGCACCTCAAATCACGTATACAGTCCCTCACGCAAGCTCGAAAGCGCGTAGAGTCGAACGCAGCTCCCACTGAACTTGAGCCAGAGTATGATACTGTCGAGGAAGATGTTCCCTCATCCCCTCAGCGCAGCGAAGCTCATGCAACCACCGTCCTGCAAGATTTCAACGACCCGGAGAGCGAACCCGCTGAAATGACTTCTCTACGGTTGGAGCTTTCCACTTTGTCGACGTCCTATTCGTCTCTTCAAAGCACTCTCATATTGATGCAAACCCAGTTGGTTGATCTAAAGAGGGTGAATCAAGAGTTACAGGAGGAGAACGAGAGCTACATGATTTTGCTCAGGGAAAAGACTCTGAGCGGTCAGTTCGACCTCTTGAAGCAAGTCGGGACTAGTGGGGCAAGTAGTGAAGACGATACCACCAGCGACGACGAACAGGGAGGCACTGATGTTGATAGTATGCGCAGTCGCGGACGGAGCACCCTGGACAGTGTCGAGGAAGAATCGCCAGATCTCCTCAATACACAGCTGCCTGGCGACCTGTCTGACTCTGAGGCACCGCAACCCTCGCGAGGTGGCCGTCGTCATGGCGGATCAGAACGCAAACGCACCTCCTCCTCGCATGCACCACGTGGCGAGTCACTGGCAGGCTTGCCTATCACTGGACCTGGCCTTGACCTGGCCGCTGAACTTGGACGCGCTGAAAATAAAGACATCCTCGCCGGAGATTCTTTGGACGACCGCGATCGCTCAGCTCCTGTTGGAAAGAGCAAACGCAGCAAGAAAGGTTCCGATGGGACCAAGATATCCCAAGCAGACACCGCTGGTGTGGACACTGCCGATATTGACGCGTTGCGGACAGAAGTCAAGTCGCTCAAGGACGCAAACAAGGCCCTTTCGTTGTACGCTTCCAAGATCATCGACCGCATTATTGCACAAGAAGGCTTCGAGCACGTCTTGGCCGTGGATTATGACAAAGAACCGAAGACACCTCAGACAGCTATTCCTAACATGAACCCGTCCAAATCACTGCCCTCCGGTCAGTCGAGAGTTAGACCTCAATCCGTCAACTTTGGCCGCTCCTCGTCCAACCCAGGGACAACCTTCGATGCCAAACTGTCTTCTCCACCGAAAACCGCCGGCCTGAAAGCTAATCGTCGGTCACTCTCCTTCGATTGGAAGACTTTCTCCCTCTTCAACAACGCTCCTCCGGAGAAGAAGCCTGAACCACCTTCTAATCTGCGTCCATTGACTCTGAAACCAGGAGCTCTGCCCGTAACGGGAGCCCGCAAGCTAGACAACATCGAAGACGAGGAAGATAGAAAGGAAAGAGAACGGCTCCACGCCACCATGAAACTTATGGGCATCCAGCCACCAGCATCACCTATGGCGTCTCCCGTGATTCCTACTCCTGCCCCCATGGAAAGATCTGCTAGCACGCCCGACGCTCCGACGGCCAAGAACAACCGCCGCTTCTCACTGTTCGGGTCGAGGACACCAATCGAAACCTCTGATGCCTCGTCGGTCCATTCAACGTCGTCAGTTGGCCGATTCAATCAGAACCCTCACGGCTTGACAGAAGAGGCTCTCGAACAGGCCCAGGCTGAGCAATCGCTCGCGGTCCTGGACGCCCGCGAGCGGGAGATAAGTGCCGAAATCGCTAAAGGATCAAGTGGTGGGTTCACGGAGATCGCACGCAGGTCCAGCAGAAGGGGCAGAAAGAGCGCTGGAGGCAGCAGTGGCAGCACAGTTTGGAGCGCTGGCATGAGCGGTGCCGGAGACGACTGATCACTTTATTTCAAACGCTAGAAAGGATGGTTTTGGATATATATTATCATACACCACGGCAGAGGCCAGTGGGTCGCCAGGCTATGAACAAATCGAGTAATGTTATACCCCTGTTTTGTCTAGTGGAACCCAGGAAATGTATTTTGAGACGTTAATATTGCATGTTGATTGAGAGAAAGTGGGCACCTAATGAAATGTGAGATGGGGGTATCAAAAGCAGGAATCGATATCAGAGTGGTCAGGTTTGAGGAGCATTATCAGGCGTCACGCATCATGTTTCAAGAGGGTGTTTTGTGCATGAGTTCGTATCGTCTGGAACGGATTCGAAAAAAAATCTGGGTTCTTCAGGATGAGTGGATGCCGTAGGCGTTCAAGTTCGCTGAAGAACCTCAGCTGAGCACATGAGCTATAGACAAATAAGAAACCCACAATGCACGATTTCTTTGGGCTTTCGACAGAGGTGCTGAACGCCCCTTACCGATCGTCCCAGGTTTTACTTTGGGTTTGGCCGTCGTTTGCGGCTCCTCGGCGTCTGCGATCGTAACAGCAGGTGCGCTATCTTCGCCGTGCTTATCTTCCTCGAGCGAAGCAAGAGCGCTTTGAAGATCATGCAAACCGCCAGAAAGCTGCTCTTTTGCCTTCCGTTTCATACGCCGTTCGTGCGACTTGGAGAACTGCCTTGCAGTTGGTTCCAGCTCTGAAGAAGGAACCTTCAGTCCAAACAAATTTCCGCTGAGAGGGAGCCTGACTTTGCAAAAACGCCTTGCGCTTTTCCTGTTGTTTCTCTTTCTTCTTTTGCTGGGTAACAGGTTCATGTTCTGGTTCGGCTTGCGGCCCAGGTGCTTGGGAGCCGGATGGTTCTCCGAGACCAACTACTCCAGAGATAGATGCATCATTGGAATTTGTCGAGGATTTCTTGAGCTTGACAGAAGAGTGGTGCGTAATATGGCGAACACGGCTCGCTTTTGGCTAACTCACAAATCAGTCGTTGAAGCAGCAGTTCAGTCGGAGCGTACCATCCTGAGGATAGCGGTAAGAGGAGCCGTAACTTAGATGAGAGTAAGATGATAAAGGTGCGCCTGATCTGAAATCCGTGGGCTGGGAGTCTGATGTCATCGAAAAGCGTACATGTCATTATCACAACCTCTGGGGGATCTGGGAACTAAACTAGAGTGTATAACCAATGCTGCAATGTTATACCGACTAATGTACACCGAGGAGACGTTCACGGAAAACTAGTAAGGAGTGTGTGCTTGTGTAATCGATCGGGGAGAAAGATATAGAATGTGCATCATGGGCGAGGTAATCCAGCGGAATTTTGGACAGGGTGATGGTATTTGACCTTCTCGAAAATCCTATAAAGACTGATAATAAGATTCGAACAATACGCGATGAGGCCGACGCCGACGAGGCAAATGAGGGACAGTTGAAAATCGCAGATGCTGTCACCGTAGGTCCCCTCGAGGCCAGGGACGTCACTGATGGGCCGGGGTAGCTGGTTGTACCAGGCGGTGCTCGATGCAGAGGCACAGGGTATCAAGGAGGTGAAGAAATTGTCAAAGCAGAGGGAGAGAGCCGCCGACCAGGCGCAGATAAATAAAACTTCGGATAATGTGTGTGCAAGCTTCGCAGAAGTTCGCCATAGTCCCAAAGGACGACCAAAGTATTCAAGCTGCCAAGGGTGATGAGCGAGACACACGTCAAAAATAGGATCCTTCATACATATATAGCAGCCATAACATGAACCAGGGTTAAGGGGGCAAATATAATGACAACCGTTCTAAGAAGCCGGCATTAGTCAGAGGGGGAGAACAATGACAAGGAAGCAGGTTTACGGTGAACTGCCAACGGCACCCATTGCATCGTGTCTGAGCTCTATGTTTCGTATTCGAATAGCCATTCCAAGTGCTGCGCCTGTGAAGGCAATGTTGATAAATCTGAATAACTATGGAAGAGAATCAGTAGGGTCGACGATTCACCAAACGGCAGGAACGTACCAATGGAACATAGGTGTTAACAAGAATGAATGAACGAAGTTGCTTCCGTCGTCGGCTCCATCCAGACAGGCGTTTTTCATTCTCGTCAGGGAGGACCTCCTCGACGAATCCATAGCTATTTGGCCGAGAAGGGCGTGATGGACCCTGGGCAGCTGGTTTGGGTGTCCACGGGGTATCCCATCCGGGTGTTGAGGTATGAGATAGGGTGTAGGGTACGGCTGGCGCGGCTGGCGGGGGCATAGATATCGACAGGTATGGTGTGCCGTTCTCTGGCTCCTTCTCCTTTTCTCTGCGCAAGAAAGTCGAACTCTCGCGCAGGGACGTCGCTGTTGGCATCCATCCGAGGGATAAATCGCGGAAGCCCTTTCGTTCCCTCGGTGTAGAGGGGAGACGCTCAAAATCCTCGTCCTGCCTGGGGCGCGGGAGGGTAAACGTCCACCATCGAGAGGCACCTTGATCAGGACTTGACTGGAGTGAGGCGACGTCGGATATCCTGGACTCTGTTGCGTGATTTCCCTCGTGAATTGAGCCTGTCTGCTCCTTCGGGGACGGGGGCTCGTCGCGGGCCCAGGCTGGGTGGGTATCAGGAGGAGAAAACGGGCAGGAACCAGGCCGACTCACGGGGTGAGGTCACGACGGCGGTGACTGGGGGCGGTGGGCGGCGAAAGCTGCGGAGACTTGTTGCATGGTTGAGAGAGACTGTGGATGGGAGGGAGGGGGGACGCTGGCGGGGAGATGTGGACATGGGATCGCCCTGCGCGGGGGGAGAGGCGCTTGGCTATATAGCCAGAGCGGTTAAAGGCCAAGATCACGCGACCAGATTTAGAAACAATCCATCATGGACCCGTCCGCCATCCCCTCCCTCTCCGCAGGCGAAGTCGGCTCCCGTTTCGTCTCCCAGGACGAGATCGACACAGCAAAGGCACGCAGGGAAGAGCAGTGGAGAGCCGCATACGCTCGCCTCGGCCAGGAGCCACCCCCTTTGCAGCAGGAGGACCACTACGACGGACGCTCTCTGGCTGAAGTGAGTATATCCCCACTTCATCTCCGCATACTTGGCGTATTCACTTCCTTCTCTTGGTCTCCAAATAACTCTAGAAACTTGCTGCGAACAAGGTCTGTTCTCCTCGGAGGCCCCATCATGACGCAGCCCTCTCACTCAGGCCCAGATAGCCAAGCAGGAGGAATGGGAGGAGAAGAATAAGCTAGGTACCACAATATTCCTTTGTCTGCGTATCCTTGCTCACTCGGTTGCAGCGAATCAATTTCGCGCTCTCGAGGAGGATGAAATCATGTTTCTGGACTCTATAAGAGAGCGACAAGAAGAGGAGGAACGTCGCCGAAAGGAACAGGACGGGGAAGAGCTCAAAAACTTCAAGGAGTACGCTCCCTTGTCCACCAAGAAGATGACGTTGTTTTTACACCGAATCTAGGGCAGTTGCTGCACGAACAAGTGCCGTCAACAATCCGCCACCATTAAGCACCGCGGCTACGGTTGCGGCCAAACCCAAACCACCGCTGGGGAAGAAGGACACCAAGAAGACTCTCAAGGGTGTCATTGTGAAGAAGAAACCAGCCAAACCCGCCGTATCTAACTCTCGACTGGAATCGAAAGAAAAGACCGGTAAGGAAGAGAAGGAAGAAAAGGACGACGCATCGCCAGACGCGAAAAGGAGAAAGATAGACAAACCATGATATTCGAGTGCTGCATGATGCGATGTAATTATGGGCGTTAGCGTTGTGTGTAGTGTACTAATATAGGTTCACCGTCTGGTAGTGGGTGAAGGCGTTGGCGTCCATCGCACTCGGTCCAGATCTCTCTCCTTGCTGTTCGCCCCCAATTCCCAGCCAGCCTTCCGTTCCATCGCTTCTGCTCTCCTTGTCGCCGCTGTGCCCAACGTCGTCCTTTCGAGCAATCGACGTGCAGCCGGTGTGAGATTGTCAGCAACTTCGGCCCGCCGAGGTGTCCACGACGGAGGAGCCATACTCCCCTTCTTTCCAGCCAGCGCAGTCCGAGGCGTCTTCCCAAATAACCCGGCTTTGGCTCGCAGGCTCTTCGCGGCATTGTTTGAGAGTTTATGGGATATTGCCTCTCGTACGGTAATATCTGGTATATGGAAGGGTGTCTGCAAGTCGCCAGGATCACCAGTTTGGCCGATAATCCGAGGAGTGGCATTGAGGGTGCCCCACGTCATGAGTTGCTTCATGGCAGCAGGTCCAAGTTGGTCTGGGGTGGGTGACGGAAGGTTCGGTACGAGAGGGAATCCACTTTCTTTCGGAGATCTAGGGTGGTCTACAACACGTTCAGGACCAGCGCGGATATAGGACGTCGAAGTACTTACATGGTGTGCCTGTGATAGCAGCGTCAATCCGGCTGCGGGTCGGACTGGGTGGGGCGGATACTGATTTAGCATCGCCGGCTCTGTGTTCGTCTTCCTGTAGTCGCGTACTGGCATAATTTACCGCCTTCTGACCCTTCCCTTCAGCAGGTTTGGAGGGAGGGTTGTAAGGAGAAACGTCTGCGTCCGGAGCGAACATGAGAGAGTTCCGTGCCTAGAGGCAAAATGAATTGGGACTCTTGAAGATATAACAGAGTGGCGCACCTTGAACTTCCATCCGTCCACCCCTGCTGTTCGAATATCCTTCTGAGGTGCCATAATATCGACCATTGAATCGTCCTGTTTTGCGAGCACGACAGCACTCGATCCTTCTCCCTTCTCCTCTCCCTTCTCTTCGTCTTCCCTTTCCACTCCCTCCTCCTTCCCATCCGTGATCAAACCCGCCACCGTCGGTTGTTCAATCGCGAACTTGCCCCTCACTCCAGTAACCGTCGGCGGTTCAATCAGCGCCCTCTCCCTCCTCTCAACCATCTTCGCGTGCTGCTGCTCTACCCGCTTCTGTGCCTCCCAAGCCCAACCCCATTTCTCCTTCCGTTGGCGGTTCTCCTCGTCCAGGATCTGCGTGAAGCTGGAGTTGTCCTCGGATGTGTACTGCGCCTGGAAATTATCCAAGCTCAGGTCCGTGTCATATCTCGCGCGTTTGGGCTGTGGCTCGCCCCTCGAAATAGGTGTGCGCAGCGGCGTCTCCGCGGCATAGCCTAGTGGTGTCTGCGAGGGTGTATGGGCCACCCGCCGTCTCGTTGACGGTGCGGGTGTGCTAAGCTCCTCCAGACGCCGGACGCTTGCGTTTATCAGGTGTGGGTCCCGCGTTGACAGTGCGTCTAGGTACTCGTTGGTGGCATCTAGGTGAACGAGCGAGGGAAAGAAGTCCCGGGCAATGATGTGCGATAGAGCAGCAGTGTACTCCTCTTCCTCGAGAACGACTTGACGATTGAGAGAACGCTCCGGTTGCGAGGTCGAGGTCGAGGCCTCTGGCAGGCTTGAAGACATTTTGGCGAAGTCAGATGGTCGCCGGGTGGCGGGGAGATGGAGGTTTGAGTCAAGTTGTTGTTTTCGGCGCGTGACCTGCCTCATTTAGCGACTACACAGCTACACACACAAAGGTAAGAATACATCCTAGATCGTTATGAAAACACGCAGATTGGTTCAGAATCATAATGTAAGCAGTAAGCTTAGCACATATAAGTAAAGGTACTAGAGACAACAGGTCCAGGATCTAAATCCAAGAAGAGGTGAAAAAGAAAAACTAGAGGTTAAGGAGTGTGGTCAACGGTATTATGGTTTCCTGCATATAGATCCAGATTAAAGTGATGCGTCGATTCAAGGGCCGAATCAATAAGCTCGATAGGTAAATCGTTCACAATCCTCCAGGACTGGAGGCACGAGGCAGTAGATCTTTGATATCCAGGACGCTTCCAGATTCGATACCGGCGCTCCTCCGTCCTGAAGTACCTCCGCTCGGTCGACCAATGCGGCTCTTAGAGAGTGCATTCGAAGAGCTGCTTGAAGAGGGCATCCTTGAGCTGGGCCGCACTGTAACGTTAGCATGGAGGTCGGTTGGTAAAGTGGGAAGATCTTTGGACTTTAGATTCGTAGGGGAAATAACACTCCTACCATAGCCATTTGGCGGCATGGTAATTGGCCGTTCGCGCTGTGTGCTTGGGAGAGGCGGAACGGGTGGTGATGGTGCATTCTTTCCGAGAGACGAGCGCTTCAATTGGCTGTAGGGGTTGGGGGCTCCTGGCCCCGAAGATCGCTTCATTCCAACAGAGGTAGAGGTGGACAGACTGTTAGAAGGGACCGGTAATAAGGTTGGTGTCTGTGGTCGTGATGCTGAAGAGGATGTGGTACCGCCTGCCGAGAGTCTCGATTGTGGACGACGTAGACCAGTACTCACTGCCAAAGGATTCATTGGTCCTGTGCTGAGGGAAGGTGAGGTAGGACGTGCACTGGTCGAAACAGTTGGACGAAAGGACGTCGGTGCCATTGGATTGGACAATCTACGGTTCTCTTTCAACCGTTTAGCCTCCTTATTCTTCTGAGGCGAGGGAGAGTCCTCCATGATTAGCACCCATCCAGACGAATCACCTCCATTTTTCCTAGAGCTCTTCTCGGAGCCACTGTCGTTGCTACGAGAATCGACACTCTTCCTTTGAGATTCCCAGCTAGTCTTGGCCGTAGATGTACTCGATGCAACTGAGGAAGAAGAGCTCAGGACGGGGGTTGTCGGTCCTGCGAGCGAGGAGTTCTGACGTCCAGTGATGCTCGCCATGCGCAACCGGGGAACACGGGTGTGTATTTTCTGCTCTAAATTGCGGACCCGGGCCCGCATTTCAGAGACCATCTGCACACCCTTATTCTTTGCGACGGAGCCAGTGGAAGATGAGTTGCTGGCGGTTGTCGCTGTTGAAACGGTGCGCGCAGCAGGGGGGCGCATGAAGCTGCGGGGGCTTGCTGTCGAAGGCGACGAGAAGGATGGCAAAGTCGTCGATCGTATGATATTGGAAGAATTTCGGAACGCGGTGAGCGGGCTCGGTTTCTCTTGTTGTCGAGCCGCGCGCATGAATGGCGAAGGGACGGCTGGTCGAGAGAGCGATGCCTTCGGTGTCGTGTTAGTGCTGGAATGAAACGATTCTGAAGGCGATACATCAGCAAGATCAAGGTCAGGAGGTGGTGCTGTCTTGAGGAGGTCTTCGGAGGAAGGAACTTGAGGTTGCAGGTCAGGAACCGAACGGCTGTTGGCCGAATCGAGTTGGTCCCGCAAAATCGAAATTTCAACATTGGCATCTGGAATGGAATGAAGCGAGATTTTCGTGGGGTAATAGGTGAAGCCCACCTCTTAGCTCGTCTTTAAGACGTTGACATTCCTCCTCCATTCCAGCCTTCTCCAGCAATTCATGTTCCAGCAGAATCTTCTCCTCCAAAGCTTTAGAATATTTGGTTTCCATATCCGCCAAGCTTGAGGATACTGCGCGTTCGTTGCGCTCCAAATCGTCATTTCCCATCTCAAGCTCACGAAGATAGACCTTAGTTTTCTGATGTTCTTGTCTTAGCTGGTCTAACTCGCGCTGCAAAGATGTGGTGGTCGTGTTGTGCGTGGTTTGGAGGGACATGAACTTGGCCTAGGATCAAGGGTTATTTCGGTTATGGAAGAACTGAGGGGTCGAATCCACGTACCTTCCACTCGTCACGCTCATTTTCAGATCGGACGACCTTCGCCTGCAACTCCTGCTGCGCCTTCTCGGTGCGCTGCAGCTCGTTCTCCAGCTCTGCCTCTAATTCCTTGCTCGCTTGGTGAAAATCGTCCAGCTCTGCGCGCGTTTCGGCTAGCATGTCGACGACCTATGCGAAGGCAATCGATACAGGCTCATAATTGATATAAATAATAAATGAGCCCACCTCATTGTACTTTTCGCGCCAATCCGTGTTGGTGGAGAAGCTGGGAAACGAGTCAGGTTGGGGGTTTGTGGCACACACGAGAGGCCGTACCCAATTCCATTGTCGTCAAGAGACATGTGCCTGTCCTTGCGCAGGGCATGCAAGGGCGAGAGAACGGCGGTCATGAGGAGGAGAGCTGGGGAACGAGACTAGCTCGCAGACCAGCAGTAGTTTGGGAGAAAGTTGCAAGTACGGACAGTGATCTGTTCATTCCCTTATTTGGTGCACTAACGGCGCAGCGGCGATAAACAAATGTCACGCGTCATATTGCTCTACTACGGCATATCTAGAGGTTTCGCGCACTTGCGCTTCTCAATCTTGCCTGTCTTTGGGCATCGCATCTCTTGCCATGACACGGGCTCGAGCGTGCCACCTAGTTTATTTAAAGAGCGTTGCTGAGAGGAAAGGGCAGGCACCTACCAGCCTCGCTTGTCGCGAATATGACCCCGAGATCATTTCGCGCCGTCGTCACAAAATAGCTACGCGCATCCCCGAGTGAAATCTTGGGC